TACTTGCTGTTTTAAATGCAGTTTGAACAGGCGAATTAATGGAGGTATTTTCTAGATGCACCACTAAGATTAAAATTATTAATTGAACCTCTGTTGAAATTCTGTTCTTATTTTGTTTCTGAACTACCAATTTCAAAAGCCATATTTGAGAGACAACAAAGAGTAAATTAATGATGATGTGTTTCTTGTTATTGTACATGCACCACAGAAATTCATATTATTTGAACAGTGTCGGGTTTTGATAAACTATTTATTGACTTGAAAATATAACATTTTATCGGAAGTTTGTTTTCTGTTATGGCAAAGTAAGATCAAAGTATACAGGAGTTTTAATTGTCTGACTAACTGAAAGAGAGAGCTGTGAATCACAAGTATTGTGAAAACTTGAATAAATAACTCTATACGGCCCAACGATTTGTTGTAAATTGATGATTGATTTGAAGATCAAAGAACTATCTTTTAATCCGACAGCGAATCGAAACTACTTAACAAAAATATTGACTGTAGTATATTGGGGAGCATTTGTATAAGCAGGTTAAAATGCCACATTTTTGAGCCAAAAACGGTTTTCTTTTGTTCAGAAATGATAGCATATCACTCAGAACACCATGATTAAGACGGATAAGCGTTTTTCAAAAATGTTTTTTGAAAAATAGTTCGAACTTTATATTATTTGATGCAGTTTGATGTATTGATTCCGAATATCACGTTAGTTTCCTTTCAAAATGCGTTTTGGATGCGCAAAACACTGTGTTCTTTGGGAACATCTAAAACAACCTAGCATATATTTCATGAGGGTGTGGGTGTGGGTGTGGGTGCGGGTGCGGGTGCGGGTGAGGGTGAGGGTGCGAGGAGTGGGTGTGAGTATAGGGATGGTGTGGGTAAGTAAGCGGTAGAAGAAGACTTATACCTACATCCACACCCACACCCACACCCACACCCTCTGTCAGATACAAACAGATTTTGTATTTTTTCTACGGAAGCTACTGTATCTGTTTGATACAGTGAAAAACTTCGTTGAGTATAATAGGTAATCATATTTTTCATACTGATTATTCTCGTACTTTGAGAAAAGAGAAATGTTTCGTATATATTCCCTACAAAAATTCTTCACGAACAATAGATGATGCCAAAATATTTCATGAAAACTGATTCAGTTAGGCGGCAAACAAAAATTATCACTGACTCGTTAAAATCACTTGATATTCCATGATTACAATCGTTTTACTACTGTAAAAGAATTAGACATAAAAAGTGGTGGCTATTTTCGCTCACCTCTGTAAATACATACTTAAATATTCCTTTCGCCTATCGATCTTATAAAGGCTCTATACTTAAGCATATAGTGGCAAGAATATCAATTCAGGAGTATAAATGTAGAGGTGTCCAAGTAGGATATAAACATCAGAATACAGGTAGAAGCTTATAACTCTAAGAACAAAACGTAGAGATCGATACGAAAATTTGTTAAGATCAAATTATTCTTCGGCGAATCTAATCTCTAGTAACATATCCTTGCACCTAATGCTCTAACATGAATTGATCCCTCAGTGAATCGATTTTATCAATTCATACATCTAAGATTCGAATCTTTGTTTTGATTCATTCTTTTTTTCGTTGCTCAGGGCTTTCTTTCGATAAATATGTCATAGCAAGATGAAGCTCAATAATTTTGAGATAATCTGAAAATCATTTTATATTCATCAATAGAATGTTGTACATGAATTGCTTTTGTGATGGAAGAAAATACACGTCAGACTCCTTTATAGTTTTGTTCTGTACAGACAATAGAGTTTTGCATCTTGTCGTTGTTTTATTACATTAACGTCTTCTATCACAACAATGTCAACATAAAAACAATGCAAAGCAACAGAACAGTATTGTTAAAGGTAGTAAAAAGTGAATTCTCACTTTGGATGACATAAAAAAATAGCACGTGTTACAAGAGGTCCTCTTTGTTCAGACCAAATCATCAAAGTAGGACAGCATTCATATTTAGTGTAGGATGGCACAGAAAAATTACAAAATGAATACTACTACGACAAAGCAAGCGAATACTATGGTAAAATCAGGTGTTATCTCCGCGAACAAGACAAAGAAAATGCTGAATCTTCCTCCAGGTGACGCTACAGCTTCAAAACAATCCAGTAAAGAAAAAAAGTCTACCAGCAAGAGCATCTCACCAAGCCATTCATTAACTCGCTCGATCGAGAATTTCATTGTTATATGGTTAGATTCGAACATAAATGAGATCAACAATGACTACCAAAAATCTATTAATAGTCTACGACACATTGCCAATACAATAAAAACATTCACTAATATCAATTCATGTATCGATTTTCTGATTCAAATTAAAGATGAAAAAGTATTTATGATCGTATCGGGTACTTTTGCTCAAACAATCGTGCCACACATTCAATGTATGCCTAAAGTCGAATCGATCTATGTGTTTTGTGCCAATAAATCAAAGCATGAACTATGGACAAAGGAATGGAGCAAAGTGAAAGGAGTCTTCACTGATATTGAATTCATTTGTCATTCCCTCAAACAAGATACTGAACAATGTGACAGTAATTTAACACCGATCAGTATCCTTACTGCAACCAATTCAACGAACAAAGACTTAAACGAGCTCGATCAATCATTCATGTACTCGCAACTACTCAAAGAGATTCTTCTCGAATTAAAGTACGAGAACGATCTAAAAAAAGAACTGGTCGACTTTTGCCGACTTCAGTACCGTGGTAATACCAACGAATTAAAGATCATCGACGAATTCGAAGAACACTATGAAGATCATTCGCCTATCTGGTGGTACACACGTGAATGTTTCACTTATTCGATGTTGAACAAAGCACTTCGCACTCAAGACATTGGGATTATTATTAAGATGGGATTTTTCATACGCGATCTACATGTACAAATCGAACAAATTTATTCGACGTCTAATAAACAGCGTCCGTTGACTGTTTACCGTGGTCAAGGAATGTTACATGATGAATTCGAAAAGATTAGAAAGAGTAAAGGCAATCTACTTTCTTTCAACAATTTCTTATCGACAAGCACAGATCGACAAGTCTCCCTTCGATTTTCTAAAATGGCACAATGCAATCCTAATTTGACGGGAATTCTCTTTCGAATTGACATCAATCCTACACCCACTTCGACCCCTTTTGCTCAGTTGAATAACATTAGTTATTATTCGGACTCAGAAAAAGAGGTGCTTTTCTCGATGCATACCGTGTTTTGCATTGGTGAACTTGAACAGATTGAAAATGGACTGTGGCAAATAGCATTGACATCAACTGATAATAACGATCAACAATTGAAGCTTCTCGCCGAACTCTTAAGAAAAGAGATCGGCTCTGGAACAGGATGGCACCGATTGAGTCAATTGATGATCAAGATGGGCGAGTTCAACAAGGCCGAAGAAGTCTCCAAAGCATTACTCGATGCGGCATCCGATGACGACGCGCGAACAAAGGCTGTCTGTCATCATCAACTAGGATATGTTAATGACGAAAAGGGCGATCTAACAAGGGCTCTTTTCCATTACAGACAATCTCTCAACATTAGCCTGACCTATCTACCGCCGAATGATCCTTCTCTTGCTTCGACTTATTCAAATATTGGAAGTATATAAAAAAAACAAGGTGATCTTAATACGGCTCTCGAATGTTTCCAGCGAGCGCTCAACATCGATTTTCATGTTTCTGAACCTGATCAGCTCCAGATCGCTACTCATTACAACAACATTGGTCTTGTGCTTAAACAACAAGATAAATATGATGAAGCACTGAAACACTATGAGCGTGCACTCGAAATCAAACTCGCTCATCTTCCACCACGTCATCCCTCGTTGGCCACTGCTTACAGCAATATCAGCGGGATTTATCAATCAAGAAAAAACTATTCGAAAGCACTCTCATTTCTTGAGAAGACTCTTGAAATCAAACAAAAATCTCTTCCACCGAATCATCCATCGTTAATTGCGACTCATCGTAACATGGCCACAGCATTGGATGGCCTTCACCGATATGAGGAAGCTGTTCAACATGCGCAGTATGCAGTTGACATTGCACGGCGTACATTTGGAACTGATCATTCAGACGTAAAAGACAATCAAGAATATCTTGATGAACTTCGTCAGAAACTCTGATCAATGTCATATTGAACAATGATTACTTGCTATTTTTTTGTCGGATTTGTTTTAAATATCAACCACCATATCTTGAATTGTTTTTGATGAGTTTTAGTTATCGGAAATCGGGTTTTCGCTATTAGATAGAGCAATGTGTGGGAAGAGATATCTATCTACGAATATTTATTAAGTTCTAGGAACTTGTTCAGGAGCATTTGCAAGTGAAGAAGTTTTCGTAGCAACTCATATTCATAATATACTAAAATGTAGTTTGAAAAATCGGGAAATTTTATGGACCCAGGTGAAAGAATCCGATTGTACGATCTTATATGATCTTGTAAGAATCGTATAAGATCGTACGCCGATCTTGTACGATCATACAAGATCGTATGAAAATCGTATATGATCTTGTACGATTTTGTACGATTACCTCAAAGCCACCATTTCAGATGAAATCGTACTGTACGATTCTTGTACGATCTTAATGTCAGTCCTTGTACGATCTTATAAGATTCGTACAAGATCCTTTAGAGCTTCCGACAACGTTATATACATCATTTTCTTCCCTTCGGGTTCTATATCTTCCTTTCTCAGGCAGTGTTTTATCTTAAACACACATAAATGCAACAAATCACAATTATTTATTTACTTAATTTGATACTTTTAATCAATATAATTCTAACTTTAATTTCTCAATATTATATTGACTAAAAGTATCAAAGTAAGTAAATAAATAATTTTCATTTTAATTTATAACCATCAAATTCAATAAATCCATTAAATCAAATAAGTAATTTTAATTTTAATCCATAATCAATACATTCTCATAAATGCATCAATATCAATAAATAAATAATTATAATTTCATACCATAACCAATAAATGCACTAAATGCATCAATATAAATAAATAAATAAATAAAATTTTATTTCATAATCAATCAATTCTCATAAATGCATCAATATTAATAAATAAATAAATAAATAAATATAATTTCAATTCATAATCAATAAATCCATTAAATGCATCAATTTAAATAAATAAATAAAATTTTAATTCATAATCAATAAATTCTCATAAATGCATCAACTTACATAAATAAATAATTATAATTTTATTTCATAATCAATAAATTCGACAAATGCATCAATTTAAATAAATAAATTTAATTTTAATCCATAACCAATAAAGTGACATAAACGAATCAAATCAAATAAATAAACAATTTTGGTTTTAATTAATAAACAATAAATTTAAATAACTACATCAATTGAAATAAATAAATAATTTTAATTTTAATACGTAACGAATAAATCCACTAAATACACCAATTGATATAAATAAATAAGTAAATAAATAATTTGAATCTTAATGTATAAACAATCAATTGACTAAATGATCGGTCGAAATAAATAAATAATTTTGATTTTAATTCATAAACCAATAAATCCACTAAATACATCAAATTATGTAAAAAAAAATCTTTTATTAAATGAATGTTTATTGTGTCTGGCTTAATCGTTGTTGTTGTCTAAAATAAAAATAAATAACTGATTTAAAGTAAAAAAATGCTTACTTTATTTGGATCTACCGTGGTTATCATCTAAGATAAAAATAATGGATAATTTAAATTAAATCAATACTTGCTTTGATTGAACCAATTGTTCATATGATCTAAAATAAAATAAAAGATAATTCAATTAAAATAAATACTATAAATCAACACTATTATATAAGTTTACCTTCAGTTTGAATTGTAAAACTTTCAAATGTTTTACTGTTATCCCTATTCAAATAATTTGAACTATTGCTGGATGTTAATTCTTGTTCTTGAACAATTGTTTTTGACGTAAAAAATGCACTATTATTTACATCTTGTAAATATTCACCGTGTAAATATGGATCATAATTTGTGATAATGGAACTACCTGTTCCATTTGTATTATTGTACAAAGTACTAATTGAATCATTCCATTTAAATTCATCATTTTCTTCTTCAACTGTGAAATGGTTAGCTGTTGTAGTGAAACTTTCAACAATATTCTTTGCTAAATCAGTATGGTATTTGTAATTTTTGCGTTGTAAATCTAATCTTTTCTTCTTTCTCTGACGACCTATCTCTATCAAATCATTGATTCTCTTTTGTTGACTCATTTTAATAAAAATTTACTAATCACATCTACACCTGACAAGAAAATCAAAATAATAAAGACAAGATAGACTTATTTAACAATGATGTGCGCAATTTACTTTCGTACATCATAGAATAGATAATATAGACTAAAAACACTGACGAGAAGATTCTTCGTCATTTTATAAGAAGACGTCGGTGAATGTGTCGGATATTAGGAAGAGAAAAAATAAGATAAAGTAAGAATCGATTCCTTATTGTTTCTGATGATATACGTACAATGTCTTTATCTATTCTCCTATCTTTTATGTACTTGGAGTGCAAAAATAACTTATTCGACATTACTATCTAAAACAACAATAAATTTGATTGGTCAAACTGATTTAACAAGTGGTGTAACTTTTTACCAGATAGACACTAGTATATACAAGATGTATTTTCAAAACTAAAGGATGCATCATTTAAATTAGAACGTATTTAATCGCTTAAGAATTTATTTAAATACATGAAACTATCGTTATAAAAATTATTTACACAAGACAAACTTATTATTATGATCTTATACGAACGTATAAGATCTAATCATCAGATTTCATAAAAAATCTTACTGTAAGATTCTTACAAAATCTGATGATCAGATCTTGTGCGATCGTACAAGGTCTCATACAATCTGATCATCAGATTTTGTAAGAATCTTACAGTAAGATTTTTGTACGATTCTGTAAGATCATACAGTATGAATCTTACGATATCCGATGGTCCGTAAGATCTTCTAAGATCTTATACGATCATCATAAGATTTTTTCACTTGGGGACTACCCGGCTTACTCTGGGCTGTACTTTGATGTAATATGAGTATAAATTGCTACAGAAACTTCTTCATTTGCAAATATCTCTGAACAAATCCCTAGAACTTAATACATGTTACACAGAAAGATATTCTTCCTCACATATTGCTCTATCTAATGTTAAAGTTCGAAAGTTGTTCTCTACGAACTTTATCCTTTAATATTCCTTATATTTTTTTTCGGATGGACCAAATATCTTCGAATTCAGCATTACCTTGAAATATAGAATTTTTTACAGTCAACTTCTTTGATGAAGTAATCACATAGCCGACCATTTATCTAAATTCTTTCTCTTAATTTTTCTTTTCGTTGTTTCTGTAATCATGATATCTGATTAAATGAATCATTTTTGAAAATCAATCCTTCATAGAAAATACCATCCTGAAAAACAATATCACCTGCAAACTATATTTTTTTCTTGGTGAAAAGTTGTTGAAGATATGTCCGTATTGATAATTTTGACATTTTCCAAACTTTTCACATTAGCTTTGCTAAAATCTTCTTGTAGCACTGAGATCAAACTGAATTAAAAAGAAAAAAGAACAATTCAGACCGATACGTATTGTTTTGATGGTTTATTTATACCTTATCGAAAGTGACTGCTGAAATAATCAGTCACATTATATATTTGATAAACGTTGTGAACAAGAAAAATATGAACAGCATGAGTAAAAAAAAATATTTTTCGTTACAAACGTCATGTGTTCATATATTTTATTAATTTGAAAACATGTACTGAGTATGTAGTTCGATCACAAATGTGACCAATACGTCATGATGGACGTTGAATGAACGATTAAAAAACTAGTTCTTTGTTTCTTCTATATTATTTTTCACGTAAGATATGTTCGGTACTTAATTTTAAAAAAATCAATAATATATGTTTTGATAGACCGATATAAGTATTCAAATCTAATATAAATACATTTTGGTTAAACATTATTCTCAGTCTACAGATATATTGAGATTGTCGGATTTCACAAAATCTGTTTTCACGATTATTATGAATATAAATTTGTTAGATAAATACGTCAAGTATAATACTTAAAAGTGATCATAACCATTCAAAAAGAGAAATTTTCTTAGTTTTCACAGATATAAATGGCAACATTTGTTCCTGAGGCTTTTGTTTTTTCTTTGTCGAACTTGTTGTATCAATTGTTTAATTATTGTTTTCCATAACCTTCTTCTTTTCTTCGTTTACATGTCTGGACATGAACTGACTTGAAATTTGATTGATAGTTTTATAGTCACCTACCGTTTCTTAGTTATCTAATAATCACTGTGTTATGTTTCATTTTTTTTTTCAATATGCAATATGAATCATTTCAATCAAGTAGTTAGATCTGCGTTTTTCTAATGTGATAAAGAGCATAAGAATAATCAAAAAAAAAAAACTTTTATTTTTTGAATAGCAAATTTTCATTCATACAAGCTTACGATGATAAATATTTTTTCAGAGAAATAGTTAAGATTTTGAATTTCGATTACACAATATTTTTACTTGATCAATGAGTTCGTGCATATGATTAGTGTTGACAGTAGTGTGTTTTGGTATTTTATGTTCAATCTTTGTAATAAAGAAATAAAACCAAGCATGTACTTCATTCAATGTCGAACAATTTAACATTAATTTACAAGTGAGTCCTTTGTGTATTTTTACAATTGATCTAAATACTAAAGGGTTATTGTATAGCTCAACAAGAGTAGCCATTGCCATCACTTGTGGAATTGCACAAAATTCTAATACTTTACGATGTTTAAGGCGACTAAGATAGTTGATCACATCAGGCACATGATTAAGTGAATCCATAACCATATGATTTAAACATTCAAGACTTTGTTCTTCATAAGGAGTCTTGATAAATTCATCAAGATTAGTTGCATAATTTTGCCAGATTTCTTTAGGCCACCAAGTTCTACCAGCTTGAAGATCTTCGAAATAATCTCGAATAATATTCGTTTTCTGTAAAAACAGTCCCATACTATTACTGAGATGTTCATGAACATGGAGATCAGGCTCTTCTAATCCGCTATGAGCAAAGAGAGAAGATAATCCATGACCAACAAGTCCAGCAACATAATGACAGTATAAATTATAACTGTCTAATGTTTCAATTGAACCAGTCTTACCGACATATTCACTCATTCCATTTCCCATTTGACATGTTATATCCAATATAATAGATTGATCTTTTGCATTCAATGATTTAAATACGTTAATGACTTTATTAAAATTCTCCAATAATGTTCGATAGTCTTCTGTATCACCGACGTCCTTTATAGACCAATTATCAATTAACAAATTATTATAAAAATTGTGTAATAAGAAAATCTTTTTATCTTGAGGATATGTCATGTCATCTTCAACACTATCAAGACCACGAAGAACAAGATAAAATATACACACGGAATCTTTTAATGATTGAGGAAGCTGTTCAATGACAAGTGAAAACGAACGGCTAACTTTATTTAATGTTGCATAACAAAAATCTAAATCGTTAAGTGTCTGTGCCAATTGATCAAGTGAAGATTTCGGTACTTTTTTAACATATCCACCAAATTTCATTATAAATATTGCAATTATTTCACTTGGAAAGAAAAATGAAGGTATTAATTCTTTCAATAAACGAGGAATATGAAACCATTTTTTTTTCGAAATCTTCGTTCGATTTTGTTTTATTAATTTTGCATCATAAACATTGTTAACATTCCACGCTTGATCAATATTTATATTAGCTGAAGCTGAACTCAAACATTGATATAAATAATAAGATATATATATAACAATATTGATTAAAGCAGTAATGATCATCATCATTGTTACAGAGTTTAAACAGAAATAATAATAACTATTTTCACCTTCCATCTATGTTTTACAAAATACAACTTAATAATATTGAGTAAGTTATACTCATTGGTACAGGTAAGACAGCTCTATCATGATAAAAAAAATAACGAACAAAGAACAAAGAAAAAAAAAACAGATATCGTCCGAGATCTGATGATGATCGTTCGATGTCGGACGATGATCATCATCATCTTCTGGTTGGTGTGAATTGAATGAAAAAGAATCGTCTTTTATCTTTGTTGACTTCAACAATTGATCTTTTTTTCCACATTCTTTCAAGATTTTTATTCTTCTTACTTATGAAAAAAAACAAAGGTTATTTTTATTTTATCTCGAACTTAACCGAACACTATACTATTATCTGTTCATATGAATATTTTCGATGCATTTATTCATTCATTTCTTCAACAAAACTTAGGTCATTATCATTCCCTGCTAATAATATCATTTCATAGTAAAATAATAATAATAAGATTCTCAGTTTTCTATTTGTAACTTTTCTAAAAAAAGCTTTGAAAAAAAAGAATACTAATTTTATTTAATTAATCAAATATTCAACCATGAATTTGATAGAAAATATTTTAGCTGATTTATTTAACAAAAAAAGGAGGATAGAATACAATTATTATTATTATATATCACAGTTAACTTTTAATGAGGTCGTTGTTATTCACTATTATCAATGTTCATTTATATATTTAACTTTTATCCAGTTAAGATTTTCCTATTATTTTTATTAATTATGTTTTTTCATGTTATTTCAATCAAAATCTCAATATTTACATCATATAAAGAAAGTATTTATTCACAACTAGAATTTATTTCTTTTTTCTATATACAGTATAATAAATTCTACTAGAAGCATAACTATTATATAAAATATTGTCAACATAGAGAAAGAATCTTCAGATAGAATTCAATTTTAATCTAGAAGTTTATGATGAAGTTATCAGTAGAGAATTTCAATTTTGACCAAGAATCAATATATCATTATAAACCCAGGTCGAACTCACCCCATCGGATCCGATAAAATTCGATCATTTTTCCGATAGGATCCGACTATCGGATTGTTCGTTCTGGGCAATTGACAATTTTTTTTTTGTTTTTGTTACTGAATAAGTTATTTATTTAGCGAAGGATAATATTAATTAACGTTTTATGAGATTGAGACAATTAATTTTACAATGATTAAAATTAAAATTGAAAATTTACTATTCAACGTCATCTAATAGTAAACTCCAAGATATTTCATAAAAATGAACGTAAAAAAAATTCCATTTAATAAATTCATAGATATAAAAAACAAAATTCTGCTAGACTTTTTCAAGGTCGATCATTCCTGATCAAATAAATGTTGTTCAAGAGCAGATATATCGATTATATTTAAGAAAGGAAACATATTATACTATTGAACCGACCGGATAAGAATTTATCTTCTCAGAAAAAAAAATCTTCTAGATAACACTAACTTTAATAATCCCTAGGATATAAATAAAGATCTTCGAAGTCGATTGATGGTGGCATCTATCGACATTGAATTATATAGGTTATTTAACTTTATTAGAGATAGACCGATGATTAGATTAAAAAAAGTCTTTCCATTCCCATTGAAATAAACATAGATCCTATCATCCTTCTATTAAATATTATCATTAAATTTATCGTTGATATTTATATATCGATTAAGTTTATAACTGAATGATTAATTTAATAGAGTTCTAGATTTTATTAACTTTATTTGCTATAATTGACTAATTATCTGTAGGAAATAAATTCTCTCATTTAATTATATTTAACGAATAAAATATCTTTTTAAAGTTTTTCTTAAAATAGATTTACAAATAAAATATTTTATTTTTATTTTTTTCTTGTAAATATTGTTAATATTTAAAGTATTAATGATAGATATAAATAAAAACAAAATCAAATGTATTCAACAATAACGAATGGACTTTCAAGAAGCGCTAAAAGACGAAAATGTATTATTTTATTTGTTTAATATATATATTTATTTGTTTAAATATTTAGTACGATTAATGTGTATTGATTTAACCGGTGATATTGAAAAAAATAATGAAGAAAATAGTCCAAATAAATATGAGTAAATATATATATTTAATTAAAATCTAAAATAAATAAAAATGATATTATTTAAGATTTGCTGATATAAAAGATTCATGTAAAATTGATTATAATGGAGAATTAATTGAATTTAATGTAAAACAATTAATTAATATTAAAAAATTAGGTGAAGGAAGTTTTGCTGTAGTTAATTTAACTAAACTTGAACAACGATCAGATGTTATATTTGCATGTAAAGTATGTTTTTTATTGATAAATAAATAATATTTAATATTTAAAATAAATAATTCTTAAAGAGAATGACACTTGAAGATCATGGAAATAATAATTATACATCTCAAAGTGATTTAAAAGCAATGAGAGCTGTTGGAAATGATCGTCATCCTCATATTGTTCATTTTTATGCTGCTTTAATTGATTTAACTGATGGACAAATAATTATTTGTATGGAACCTCTTGAAACAAGTATGGATAAATTTTATCCAATTATTCATTCACATTTTAAACCAAACAATATTTTATTAGATTTATTTATAACAAGATTAGCTAAACATGTAAATTAAATTAAATCAAGAATAATAATTCGTTTTTTTTTTAAATATATTTTTTTATTTTGTTAAATAAAGATTGTCTTAGCACTTGATTATCTTAAATCGAAAAATTTAATTCATCGTGATGTTAAACCACAAAATATGTTAATTTCACGTCCAATTATATTTAAATTATGTGATTTTGGAATTTGTGGAATTTTAAAAGATTCGGTTTCATCAACTCATCTTGGATCATTAAGATATTTACCTGTAAGATATATTTTGTTTTTATTTTCACTTTTTATTTATTTATTAGATTTTATTTATAAAAGCCTGAACGTCTTGGAAATGTTTGTTCTTATGGAACACGATCTGATATGTGGGCATTAGGAATGAGTCTTGTATGTTTTATCAAATAAATAAATAAATAAATAAATTATTTATTTATTTAGCTTGAAATAAGTCAAGGTCATCTTCCATTAGCTTCGGAACCAATTATGTCATTTATGGCTCAGATGAAAAATGGATGGCAACCAGATTTACCTTTAACACTCAATGAAAATACTCGAGATTTACTTTCACTATTGTATAGATTTGTTTTTTTTTTCTCTTTTGAAAAATTTTATCTTAAATTCAATTTATTTTATATTTATAAGACTTCGTCATGATGTAAATGAACGTCCACGTTATTATTCTGATATATTATCAATGTCATCAATGATATCTGTTGAAGAAAATCCATCAAATGATGAAATTAATCTCGTTAATTATGTTCTTGATGCATTACCACCAAAAACACCTGAATAATAGTTTTTCTTTTTTGTTTTTATCAATCATATTTAATCAATAAATATTTCTTTATTCGTTTATAATTGTCAAGAAAAACGAAAATATATATTAGTTATATTATTCTTGAATATTACACATATAACACATATTATATTATTATCTTTTATATTCAATAGAACTATTTTAGCTATTTTAAAACCTAACAGAAACATAAATACTTTGAAAATAATCTTATCTACAAGAATTCATTTAAAAAAACCTCGACTATTTTATTTAATATTTATATAGAATAAATAGAAATTATTAGTTTTTATTTTTAACATGACAAATTTTATAAATGAAAACAAATATTTCACATGAAATTAATCATAATTCAATGTGTTATGTTACCTTACGGAAACTGATTTTACTGATAGAATAGCTGTAAGATATTCGAAATGACAATAATGGTCATTATGGCCCAAATAGATACGATGCACCATCGCAGTTTCCCGTTAATTCATACGAAATGTCAAACGACTCAAATAAACACTTTGCTGCAAGCCCATTCGAACCTTCTTGAGCTCTAAATAAACTCTCAGCACATCAAAATACAGATATCAGGAATAAAAATCACATTTTTCGCAAGTCTAAAGACAGGTTTCCAGGAAAAAAGCAATGTTAGAAAACTGACATATTCTATGCGGTCATTGTTCACTTAAGGCAAACTCTTTTTCTTCGAAATCAATTTGAATATAGCACACGTTGCGAGAGCCCTTAGGAAGCGTAAAACTGAACGAGATGAGAACACTAATATGCACAAACCCCTATATAATGTAACCTATCCGATAGCTAAAACGCATAGAACACATCTAAAAAATGAATTCAACCACAGAATTTAAAGACGAAGCACAAATAAGCGAAATGTCTTTCGATGTATTCATCGCAACAATACAAAACGACACTCTACAACGAATCCAAAATCGATCAAATTATTATTTCTTCCTGATGCCTTCAATTAAAAAAATGTAGACTATACAAATATCTTCGAGCAAATAGACCAACACGCAATTTAGAATTAATTTAGCACAATTCGATTACCATTATCTAACACTCGTAAAATACACATACAAACATATATGACAATATACGTCAAATAACAACACAACAAACTACAACCATAAGTACGAATCGCAACATATCAAGCAAGACAACCACACACGACAACATATTGACCACACAATGTTGTGCACCCTGCGCACCCAACATTCTAAACCTTACCATATCACTAACGTAAGTCTTAAAAGAAAATTTTCATTGAATTAGGGTATTCCACCTATTCAAACTAGAGTCCTGCACGGGTACTACTTTTCGCACCCGGACCCGGCCCGGCTCATTTTTTTCAAACCCGGAATCCGACCGGACCCGGCCATCTTCCACCCGGAACCGAACCGGACCCGGATAGCTCTACCCGGTACCCGACCGGACCCGGCCCAGCCTTGAAATAGTCAGCACTTGATTGTTATTGTCAAAATTATATTCACTTTTCAAACTTTTATTTCATATGGCAAAATATACTATTATTTTAATTTCATCAAGTAACAATTTGTACCCGGACCACAGTTCCGGGTCCAATCGGGTGCCGGGTATCCGGCCCCGTTTGCAGGACTCTATCCTAGAGTGTAAAATACTTTTACTTGTTAAGATGTCATCGACTACCGGTCGGGTACCGGGTATGCTCAAATTCTGCACCCGACCCGGCATTTTTTTTTATACCCGGCACCCGAACCGACCCGGCAAATTTGTACCCGGACCACAGTTTCGGGTCCGGTCGGGTGCCGGGTACCCGACCCCGTTGCAGGACTCTAATTCAAACAACACTCCATATATTCGATACATTATTTATTTTGATTTCTTATTTAAAAGTAGTATAAAATATTCAGCTAAGATCTGAATTAATCTTTAATAATTATCTATATTTAATAATTGTTATTTCAAATTGTTTAATATAAAAAATAAATTGATAAACGAGGATGAAGTTTTGATAATTTTTATATAAAAAAATTGAATATAAATATTTGGTAAAAATAATTGAATATGATAATTATTAAAAATAGAAAGAATTTTATTTTCATGAAATGATCTTTTTCAATAAGATGATCAACTTTCAATTGATATTAAGAGAAGAAGGCAAATAAGATATTTCTACTAATGAAAAAATTCCAAGAAGAATTACACGAGATAATAGAGAAAAAAAATCTAAAATGACAACAATTTATTCAATTAATAATATAAAATAAAACTTGTTTTGTTAAATATAAATAAAAACAATAATATTTATATTTATTCTTCATTTTTAACTTTATTAATATTTTATTTTCGCTTTTTTTCCTTCGTTATTTTATTTTATTTGTTAATAATGATAAAATATTTTCATCTAATCTTTTCATTTATTATTTTCTTTTTTTTTTTAAATTTATTTATCTTTTTCCTTGGTGACGTACGTTATTGTATAGACAGATGAAAATTCGGTAAAAGAAATTTTCTAACAGATATTTCTACTATTCCTAGTACTTCCTTAGATTTTTCCATCTAAAATCAGTCGTCTGTTTGTTTATTATTCTTATTGATTTATATTATTTATGAAAACAAAAAATTAAATATAAGAATTTTATTTATTTTTATGATGAAATAAGTACATATTTCTATTCAATACTATGGAATATTTCATCTGACATTGTTTTATTTACACTTTATCTTAAAACTATGGCAACTTTTTAATTAAATCAATCATTGGAATTTTATTTCTATGAAAAATTCATTATGTTAATGATAAATAACAAAAAAATTGTATACATTAATTAAAATTTAGTTGATAGAAATTGATTATTTTTCTTAAATATACACTCGAGAATTACCAATGTGGAAGAACAAATATGACAATGTTTAATTTTAATTTTATCAAAAAACAATCTGCATATTTGCGTAATAAAGCTAAGAATTGATAAATGTAAACTCGGATCTCGGATAGGAACTGTCGTGTTCGATCGTACTTGTAAAAGGGATGTAGATATTCATTTTAAACTAATATACAAATTCATTTCATATTTGATAAGAATTTATTATTGTCAAATAGACTTTAGTCTTGATTAAAGTCGAAATTATTGAAACAAGAAAAATCAATTTAAAATAATAACGATTTGGAAAGTTAATATGAGGTTTCAGTGCAGAGGCGGTGAAATGGTTCTAATTTATGGGAGGCTCAAAACTCTACAGATAGTAGTTGCAACGGTGATTTAATACCGTTGCAACTCTAACTCATATTAAAAGGATGTTTGTTCTTCCGGTATGTTTTCAATAGGATTTATTTTGCTTGTATTTTTCGTATAGTCAAATCATATAATCTTGAATTTTCGTCAACAAATTCGTCGTTAAACTTGAGAAACTACCATGATTTATCTTTTTTACTATTTACCAGATATAGTGAACTAACAAAATGTCTCTGTTTGATATCTCAGGATACAATTTTAATTATATTGAAAACAGTATATGCTCTGAAAGAGTGACCTTTCACTCTTAACCTAAGCACTTGTCCTTGCTTTAATTGCTTTCATTTGACGATGCAATCAGTGCAAGAATTTACAGAAAAATTTCGAAAGAGTAATTTGTCGAAGTTGCTGAATTCTTCAATATGCCTGTATCACAAGGATCTTTCGAATTGTTATGAAAAGTATCTTAGAAAAGCGAACGAAAGAATGTATAAAGTATTGCTACTGTTCATTATATTAGAAGTAATGCATACTTTTTTAAAATGTCTATTTCTTATTAGTCTCCACAGAAAAATTCTGGAAGTTGGAATATTTAACATAGAAATGAAATGTCTTCTGAACTCCCTTAATCGACATTGAGCAGGATCAAATAAAAAACATACAAGATACAGTCAGTTTTTGCTCTTATGAACACACGATGCTCCTAGATTTAAACGATCAATTGCCTATTTGTCCACTTTTGTTTCCTTAATGGCGACTTTTGACCGAGGAACAAATTACTTTGGAAGCATTATTCTTCAGTAATTATTTTTTTTTGTTTTTTGTATGCAAAGTGTGTCGAAAAGAACATTTTTCTCTGTATATTGTCAATATTTAAATGATATATCTTCAAAAATCGTTGAAGTTTTTATTATTTTTCCATGTAACGATAAATGAAAAAGAAATACTATTCCAAATATGTTTGTTAATTCCAATATAATCTGAAGTATAAACCTCTTATACAACTTCCATTTCACCTTTCTAAAATTCATTAAAGCAAATCCTCCAGAGGTTTTGGATTGATTTGTTAGAAATTCGTCAAATGCGTTTAAAACAAATTCAGGATTTTATCATTTCTTGTTTAGAGTAGATTTAAATTTCCCCGAGCCTAATAATTCTATCTATTCTGGCTTTACTCAATAATAAAGGATACTTTTCTAACTGTACCGTCCTCAAATAACAAAACTATTGTTTCTTTATCATATCGAAATTTTTCAAAAGTCAAGCAGATAAGATAACGAAACTTTTAATGATAAATACAAAAATACAACGACGCCATAAACATGTTCAATACATTAACTATTCATCTGCATAAAAGAGTCGCTTTTATCCAAGCAGACAAAATTTTGACAAAAAGACGTTTAAACGCACAGAAATTGGCCTCAAATCAACAAAAGGTAGACGTTTTTGGGTTACACTTGCGATTACTGACTCTGAGTCAAAAACACCTATTTTGTTGCCCTTTTTGTGCGTTTAAAAGCGTATTCTCAAAATTTTGTCTGCTTAGACAGTAATGCGCTAACTATTCCAATAATATATATAATAATATATGCCTGTGTTTTAACATCAAAATGAATATTACTCTAAAGTAGAAAACAATCATAACCTTTTTCAAACCGCGTTTTCTGGTCAAACACGAAATCATGATGAGATTGACAATTTTTTTTCGGGTAGACTTAAGCCTCTTCAGACCTAAGGACTCCGCCGCCTATGACATAAATTGAATAGTGT